TCATAAACCAACCAAACTCACTGCCATCAAGTCAGTGCATATATTTGAATAATGGCAATTTGTCGTGGGTTCCTTGAAATCACTTTTTGCTAAGTTCATGCACTACTCTTACACATTTCTTTAAAAACTCCAAGGATGCTGCCTTGAGGACTAAGGTGCACCTGACCCAGGCCAGGTCATTTTCCATGGCCTCATATGCATGTGAAAGTTGGATACTGAGAACAATGCATTTGAACTGTGGTGTTGGGGAGGAATATTGAAGGAACCATGGACTGCCAAAAGGACAAATTGATCTGTTTTTGAAGAAGTACAGCCAGAATGCTTCTCAGAAGCAAGGATGGTGAGACTTTATCTTACATGCTTTGGACGTGTCATCAGGAGAGACCAGTCCTTGGAGAAGGACATCATGCTTGCTAAAGTGGAGGGGAAGAGACTAAGAAGAAGGCCATTGACAAAATGGATTTACAATAGCTGCAACAATCGGTTCCAACAGAACAATTGCGAGGCTAGTACAGGACTGGGCCGTGTTTCTTTCTGTGGCACATTGGGTTGCTCTGAGTTGGAACTGGCTCAATGGCATCTAACAAGAGCAACATAGTATCCCCAGTACATATAGTAGTTAAATCCAGTCTCAAATGTATCTACAATTTTGCAGGAGGTGGTATGGTAGTGGCCAAGCCCTTTGCTCAGAGAGCTAACTATCTGGTGAAGGCAAAAATATGATTAGATAAAATTAAATACAAAGTAAAGTGTCTTTGCAGGAGGGCAAATGGATTAACAGTGTGGAGACACACAGAGCTTTTGGAAATACACACCCTTGAAACCCACACAATACCTGTGTCCTCAGATAGGGATTCAGTGTGACTTTAAAGCAGAATAGAGCCTGTCCAAAGTGCTTGTGTCCCAGAGCTGCATGCTTATTCTCCTTTACACCCATCCTCACTTAGGGTTGGGTGCTAAAGACCAGGTCTCATGTGGAAATCAGCATGATGGGAAAATGACATACAATCTTAGCTATCACCGCAAGTACTATTCTTGCTTTATACCCTGACGTTCATTATTGCTTGATGCATGTTGTAAATGCACAGAAATCATTGGATAACAGATTTTTAAAAGTATTGCTGTAATAGAGAAAATGTCAGGGAATGAGACAGTTGATAAATGAAGAGTAGTTATAATGTTTACTGGATGTCCCCTAAGAGGTAGACATTCTAATGATCTGTTTCTAAGGCTCTGCCTAACTTTTCTTTTTGTTTTTTTCTTTCTATAAAGACTTTTCTATTGAGGCAACTTCATATTTCTCTTCTTTTCTATTGGTTTTTAGGAAGTGAGAGGAAGTAATGGACTCAAGTATGTATGTATGCAGTCTTGAAAAATCACAGCTGAGGATTTTAAATATTATTCTGACACGGAGAACCTGCCACTCTTCCATGAAGCCGTTTGCTTTGCCCGACTTGGTGCAGGCTGGAAAGGAAACTGTCCTTCAGCAGTGATAAATGACACAGCTATTGTCTCCAGGAGTTCAGAATGATTAATAGATTCTAGCCCAACCACCCCCTCATTTGACACAAGTTGAAAACGGATTCCATTATTGCTATTTTCTAGAAGAAGAAACAAAATTATTTGCCAGCAGGCTTAGAAAGGTGAACTGTGAAGCTGAGAAGTATCTTTATAATCCTTTTAAGATGCCTCTTAATTAACTATCCATTTTCCTTCCAAAGAACCAGTTGTTTGTTAAGATCCACCCATGAGAAGACTTGCGCTGCATATTGTAAATGTAAGTCAAAGATGATTCTTCAGGTTTGATGCCAGAAACGTTCATAGCTGCCAGCCCTTCACCTTGCCCATTGTGACCGAAGATTTGTTTTTCTGAGTGCCCTCACCCACTCACCCTCCCTGCCCAAGTGCATTCCGAGTAGCAAGGACGTCTGGCTGGGCTCATTGTGTCCAGTTCAGAGGGTGGACTTGCATGTCTTTCATCTTGGAATAAAGATGGGGTGGGGCTAGGGGAAGCAGGTCTTAAGAGATGAAGGGCAAATTGTGGTCTTTGATTCAAAGACTGTGGCTCGATCACTTTTTCTTACATAAAAATTGTATTCATCCCACATTTCCTACTGCAAATCACTCTGGCACAGCATAACAATACGGCAGATGCACAAGGACTTTTCCCACATTGCACTACAAACACAGCCACCCTCTCTGGGGAAGCAATGAGAAACTTTTTGGCATCCACTTCCTCTACATTTGTTTGAAGGATCAAGAGAACACAGTTCCATTTTCAACAAAAATTAAAAAGGAAAATCATGAAAAGAGCCAACCTTCTCTTTTCCCCCCGCCTCTTAATATATTGTTGCATCCAGAGAAGAGGAAACAGTGAGCGCCACTGATACTGGGCCCCCAGGGACCCCACAGGGTCACTCCCCAGCTATCAAATGGGCATGTCTTCCTTCACTTGCAGATGGGTTTGTAATGGGACTGGAAGTTACTCTTGGCTCAGCTCTGCTGAGCAAAAAAAAACGAAAAAGAAAAAGAAGAAAGAAGGAAAAATCACAGTGCCTCAGGGAACCAGGCTGTGCTCACACCTGGTCTTCCACAGGAACAGTTTTGAGCTTGAAGGCTTTAGAGACTTGGAGAAAGGAGATTTGAAAAATCATTAGCCATGTTCCTGACAGTATCTAAAAGCTGGCTGGGAACGCTGTGTTCCCATAGCACAGGCACACATTCCACACACATGTTTTTGTTGTTTCTTCTTAGGAGGCCGTGGGATAATTGACTTGGGGACTTACAATACGGCAACATCTCATTTATTCTGCATTGTGGCAATGTAGGTCTGCACTGGAAAATATTTTTTTATATAACAGAAAGGTTACTCTTTGAGAATTTAATGTTTCTAAATGAAAAGATATTCGCAGTGCATTTAGTTAACGAAAGATGACAATGCAAGTTCATTATCATGGACAAGTATTACTTTACTGGCTGGGCCAGAGATGTCCTCAGGGGCTGTGGAGATGGAACAGATACTTTGAAGCTTCGCTTATGGTCTTGGAGTTCCAGCCCCGTTCCTTGATTTTCTAACTCTGCAGACATTTGCTTCACTTCTGAAATTTCTTCCCAGGAGTTATGTCCAAGAATCTTTGCCTTCCTGGCCTTGCCTCTTTACACCTTCATCAGTTTCCAACCGAGAGCACAAGTGAAAAACCAGATGGAATTACTTCTATGTATCTCACGTTATAAATATGATCTTCTGCCAACTGAGTAAAGAACATGATTTTATGATAGCTATAAAAATCAAATTAATCCCTTCTGTCATTCAGTGGCTTGATGAAAGTTAATTTTATACCAAGTGGCATGTTTTCTTCTTTTGTAGTTAGGGAAAATATTATTAAAGCTTGCTTTGAGTAGAATGAGCTGACTGGACCACCAGAGCAGATTTTTAACTAGTCACATCTAACTAGTCACTACTACTAGTCACATCTAACTAGGCAATACTGCTTTCTCTACCCAAGCCAACCTTATCTAGCATGGACTCTTAGCAATCACCTTTTAATGATGTCTTGCCATCATCTTGGCTTCCTTCCAATTCATTCTCCACAACAGAACCATAATGGACAGTCAAAATGCAAATGTCATCCTATACCCTTTACCCTTTACTTTGCATGTCAGCCTCACCTTGTAATGCTTTCGCTCTCTGCTCACTGTTCTCTACCATAATACTCTTGTATTGGACATGATCTTCTATGACAGGACTTTTATACACACTATCTCCTCTTGTTTGTTCTATGATCTGGGTGGCTGTCTCCTTCTATCTTTCAGGTCTCACATTAATTTCACTTAATCCAAAGGCAATTCCTGAGCATTCTAGCTAAAACAGTCACTCTTTGCATGCACAAGTATAAAATCTTGATATCACATATGAATCCTCGTGGAATAGCATCCACTATGAAAGAGGCATTAGATAACAAGGCAGCCAAGTGACCTGGCCAGTTGATTTCATCAGACCTCTTTCAATAGCTGCCTATGTTGGAAAAATGAGAGCATATGAGCTAATTGGTGGCTGTAGCAGAGTATAGAGTATGCATGTGCTCACGAACAGACTGCATTTAGCAACCCTAATTTAGGTGCGGCCATGGCTGAATGTCCAACATGCCAGCAGCAACGACAAATGCTGAGTTTTCAATATGACATCCTCCTTCAAGGAGACCATGGGGATCTATGCATCTCCCTAAAATGTGTGTACTCTAAATGCTCGTGACTATAATCTCAATTGGGATGGGGTTTCCTTATTATGTTAATGAGTAATATTAGAATTGGATGTGTCAAGTTGATTTCTCTCGAAATGTAACAGCAGATGAGAAAAGCATAGAGGTGGAGATACATGTTGCATTCTCACCACGTGATCACTAAGGAGCCTAGATGTAGAAGCTGAACAGAGGCAAAGACCTTCCTCTAAAGTGGACACAGAGAAAGAGCCTTCACCTAGAGCTGGCATCCTGAATTCATACTTCTAGCCTCAAAAGATATGGGAAAATGAATTGCCATTTGTGAAAGTTACCCACTTGTGGCATTTCTATTCTGTAGTACACACACACACACACACACACACACACATATTGCCTATATTATATATGTGTATACATATATTAGATAACTAAAACGGAGACAAATCTATCACTTGGTAGGAAGTTGACTACATTGAGCCCCTTTCATGCTGGAAGGGGCAGAATTTTATTTGCCTGGGCATCGATATGTACGCTAGGTGTACATTTTCCATTCCAGATGGGTTGCAGGTCATTGCTTTTGTTTGAAGCCTTAAGAGGGAGACTACAGTGCTGGCGTTGTAGCCCCCACCAATGGTATCAGCCTGGCAGAGAGATCGAGGATGACAAGGGCTCTTACAAAATCTCAAGCATTTACAAATCATGAAGGCAGGTTGTTTGTTTTTAATATCTTTATTTGCTTAAATTAACAACACACAAACAAAAGTAGGCTACAAGCTACTGTCAGATAAACTGCTTTTATAGGGATGCAGAAAGCAATATTCACAAACTTGGGTTGATATACACTTGGAGTTTTAGTTTCTTAAATAGCAAGCCAGAATTTTGTACAAAATCAACAATTGGTGTAATATTGTCCAAATATGTGAAAGCTTTTCAATGTTAGCTCTGTTAAGTTTTGTTCCAATAAAGCAGAAAAAGATCATAATTCAAAACACGATGTCGATATTTTATTAAATGCCTTGAGGGCTTCATAAATGCAGTACACACATTGAATTTTCTCACACACCTACGCATACAAAGAAATACTAGTTACCCTTGAGGGTTAATGAAAGGTCAGCCTCAGTCTCATGGCCATGGGGAGTCAGACATTTTTTTTTTAAAAGAGAAAACGCAAGAGGAATTGAAAGTCAGCAAGAGGGGGGAAATCACGGGCCTGAATTTAAAATGATAAACAAAAAGGGTGCCACCTGGCTGGTCAGTGGGTTGGCTCCAAGTGAAAGTGGTCAAAATCCTGGGAAACATTTGGTTCTGACCTATTTTCAAAGGGTTACCATGTGCTGTATGCCACGCGGTCATGGCGCTGGCAGCATTGATAATCCTTGAAGGCTTCATCCCTTAATTCTCTGAGGCTGTCCTTGGAGGGTCCTCCTTCAAGTTTGTATGGGGCGATCAGCCCAGTAAGCAAGGGTAGCCAATTCATCCTGAGTGCTGCCTTCACGCATAGGACTCCCATTTAAATTGTCATCCAAACTGGGATCCTTTCGAGACTTAAGATGACACTCTTAGTGGCACTGTGTGGTAAGCATTGGATTGATAACTGCCAGGTCAGCAGGTCCAATACACCAGCTGCTGCGTGAGAGGAAGATGAGGCTGTTTGCTTCCATGAAGATGAACCACCTCGGAAACCTGATACGAGGTCATGATGCTTTGGAGTTGACTCAGTGACTGCGTTCATTGCTTTGTTAGAAATGATGTGCACAATAGGCATAAGCTAGGTTTGTCTCAGGAAAACCAGGACCCTGGTCACCCCAGACCAAGAATTGCATGAGGTCATAGAAATCCCAAACCATGGTTGTCGTCTTAGTTCTCAGCCGGTCAGCATAAAATCTAATTAAAACTCTCAGACTCGAAGCCAAGAACTGAAAACAGACCTTGGCGTGCAGTCTTGCACATAGCTTTATCCCTTTCCTTAGACACTTCCCCTCCCTCCAAATGAAATTGTACTCAACTGTACTTGGGGCTCTAACATAAAACAGATGAAATCCGAGCTGCTCTGAGTGGAGTAGGCATGGGGGCTAAGAGTGTCTTCTCCCCCAGCAGTTCTGGAGGGGCCCGACAGGGACCACGGCACCTTCCAACCCAGCTTGGAGACCATCATTCTAAACTCTACTCTCTCCGTCTCAACATTAACTGGTTCCTCCTATACTCCCCTTTGATTTCTCACATGACTTTTTTGGGTCAGAAAGCATGCAGGCGCACTACAGTTCCGAGGCTTACTGCAGTTAGGCACACCCGGAACAAACTGGCAGTCTGGAGCACGTGGTCAGGAAGGACACCCAGGAGGTCCTCAACCCCTTGGCTGCTGAATCGATGCCAGGACTCAGAAAGCTGACGGTCTGACAGACCATTCTGCCCGAGCCCTAGGAGCTTCAACACGGTTTAAGAGGACTTGGAACAGGTTCACAATCCAAAGCGGCACTCGTAACAGCAGAGACCCTCCTATTCTCTCTCCCCTGCCCCTCTCCATTGTGTGAACGCAGGCCGTGGTGCCAGCTGGAATCTCAGGCAGCTTTATTGCTGTGTGGGGTTGCTCACGGTGGTAGTGGGGTTTTAGGCAAGGGCAATGCATCATGGTGTGATGGAGCCCAGGGGTGGATGGTGAGGAAGAGAGGCTGGAGAAACCCCTGAGCCCACAGGAGAAAGTGGCACCCGTCTGTCAAAGATGGGCAGGTCTTCCGAAAGAACGTGCTAGGGACTCTGGAAGGAGAGGAGCAAACTCGCAAGCCGTCCCGAGCACGACAGGAAGCGCTGAACTACCAGCAGAGAGGCACTTCTGACCTACCCACAGAGAGCACCAGTAGGGTCACTGCCTATGCCGGGTCCTAGGTGAGCAGCATCCCGGGGGTCCATTCCTTTGTACTCAACACTCAGCAAGGCAGTTAGGTCCAACACACGATTGATATCATCATCACTCCTGGAATCATGGTTCAAATAAGTGGGCAGAAAGAGACACTGTAGTAGTTTACCTTGCATTGTCAAATCTATAAAATGACCATGACCATCACAGGCGTCATCTTCGATTGTGAAAAGTATACTTCTGTATAAAGTGTGTGTGTGTGTGTGTATGTGGAACCTTTCATAGAACAGGTAAGAAAACCGAGGCAGCAGTAAGATTATGAGGTGTCGTGTTCTTTGCCTTAATGCGCCAGAAGCCAGGAAGGGAAATATTTACAGAGCCCCTGGTAGAGGGTCCTGGAGTCCAGAGAAATGGGTGAGGAGTATTTTAGCTCAGTCGATCTTTCTCAACTCTGGGTCGCCCATACCAAACGGCTGGAGGAAGTTGGAAGATAGCAACGCTGGAGCCTCCATCGCAAAGGCATAGCATTGGAATCCCTGAGCATGAGCTTGGGCACTGGCGCCTTTACACAGTCTCCCTCCACAAAACAAAACAAAACCAAACCAGAAAAGCAACAACTTGTTTCAAGGAAACAAACGAAAACACAGCCTAAAATAACCGGTGCTATCAAGGCAACTCCGGCTTGTTGTGGTCCCGTGTGTTCGCGTGTCAGGCCAGAGCTGTGTCAGCAGGGTTTTCACTCGATGGCTCTTCAGAAGCGGATCCTCGGCCTTTTGTTCAGAAGCCTCCCCAGGTGGTTCTGCGGCACAACCTGGATTGAGAACCCAGCTCGCTGTCTCATTGATTAACGACAAACTGATCATGATTCTAAAACTTATTCCAAATAAGCTGGGGTTTGGGTTTCAGGGAGAACTTCCCTCCTCGGTCTAGCACCGGGAAGAAATCTATTCCCATGAAGACCCTCTTCCTAAAGCGACTTTGAGGGATATGAGACGCCCACGCCAGGCAGCAATGGTCTCCAGGAGGGGGCTCCGCCAGGACTGCCTGCAGTCAGAAGAGTGGGAACCCCTGGGCACCTCTGAGACAGCTGAAAGCGTATCTCTACCGTCTGATGAAGGTAGAGAAGAGAACGAGACGGACGCCGGCTGTAATCGGAGGATTGCTGGTGCTTCCTTAGTCCAAAGGATGCCTGTTCTCCTGAAATGTTCTTTCTACAACCACCAGTCCATGCCAGCCTCTGGTCATACTTGAGACGCACCCTCCTCTGTCATTTTTAATTTATTTTTAATACAGATTATTTTTTATGTATACTAAAAAAGTAGTTTTAAATGAAACCTACCACGGTTTCCATTTTTCTGAAAAAACTATGATCGCTCTCATGAATTCAACAACTAAGGGTCCCTACAGTTATTAATAAGGTAACAGGTGAAGCACCATATTTTGCAGCTACCAAGAAATCTGTCATGTATTGCATATTAGTCAAAGGAAAAGAGAATTTCTAAAAGCACCTCAGAGTCAGCTTCAACCAGATACCCAGATGAATATGCACAGTTTTTTATACTGAGCTGACAACAAAACCACACCTGAGAAGTCCCTGCTCGTGTGTTCCCAGTGCTGAGGAGAGCCCAGCAAACGTCCTGAGAGGCACCGGCATGACCTTGGCCTGTCCCTGTTCATTGGGTCTGAGCCGTTTGTCAAGATTTGCAACACCGGCCAGTCCCCAGCAAATTACAATTCATGCAGAAAGCTATATTTGAAACTCTTCATTCTCATTTCCAGACGCGATGTTAAAACGGTCCACTTAGATACCTAAAAGCACAGCTTGTTTTTCCATTTTCCTCTCCAGTAATTCTTTTAGGCTCTCATCCCTGTGCTTAAAGTATAAGTAATCAGAGAAAGAGGGGCCCCGCCGGGCGCTCTGCAGAGCCCTGCGGCTCAGCCGCTCCTCTCGGTGGGCAAACACTCGCTCCTGACCGCCCTCCGCATCAGGAGTGTCTCCGCGCCTCTCCTCCAGCGCTTCTTTCTGCACGGCCTCTTCCTCCTCACTGGGCTCTCCAAGAGACCTTGAGGCCTGCTTGGGCTTTCTGGATAGATCCTGGGGTGAGCAGTGCTGCTTGCTCTGGGGAGCAAGGCCAGGGCTGGAGGGTTCAACCTCATAGCAGTTCTCCTCCTCTTCCTCCTCATGGCAGGAGCTCCCCCGGGCACTCTCCCCATCAGAGTGGAAGGCTGGCCTCTTCACCCGGGGCTTCTGGGAAAGGTCAAAGGGCTCCTCCTGTTCCAGACTCCTCAGGACACCTGCCGTCTGAGCCAGGGCAAGCCTTCCCCTTCCAAAGCCTGCAAGAGCAAAGGAGAGCGAACGATGACAGGGGGTCACTTTAAAACGAGATACTCCACAGGCAGGATGTGGAGCTATGGGCATTGTCTGAGCTGGTGTCTAAATCGGCACAGCCCCTCAAGGAGAATTTGAATTTGGCACCAAAAGTTGAGGGTTTTTGCTTGTTTGTTTGAAGGCAGGCATTATCCTTGGCAATTATCCTTTTTGAGAAATGACACAATGAAAGGTATCAGGCAGGTGCAGAAAACCAAGCATGTGTAAGGCTGTTCATCTTCACAGTGCTTAGTATTGTGAAACTATACTAAAGAAATCAATCTACGCATTTCAAAATAGAGGTTGGCTTAAATACATTACAGTAGAGCCATACTATAAACTACTTAGTAATGATCATAAAAGACACTCTCTTAAGTAAAAACACCCAAACATGTATTTTTAATGAAGACCCAACTTTATCTCTCACCTACCTACCTTAGGAAAACAAAACAAAAAAGCAGAGAACTGGAAGAGTAGATGCAAAATATCACAATGATTCTGAGGTGACTGTTAGATTTTAATTTTTTCTTCTAACAGGTTTATTGTACTTTCGACTGCAGACTATTATTTCATTGTAAGAAAAAATAAAGGAATGGTAGATTCTAAATATTGAAAACAAGAGCCTAAACTTGGGGTTCTGGAAGTCACCCTCTGTGCACGGCCCTCTATGGCAGACACAGTCCACAGAAGATAAAAGAACAGAATACAAAGGCCCTGATGAACCGCAACCATCTTTGGTGCCACACAGGGTGGGTCCTGAGGGTCTCACTCTTCGTCTCAGCTGGAAGGCCCCGTGTTGTGGGTGTTCACTCAGGGCTACGCCATGTGACAGAGTCGCACTGCTCCATAGGGTTTTCTAGACTGTATCTTTACAAATGGACAGATCTTTCCCTCATGGAAGGAGCCCTGGTGCCATAGTGGGGTAGGCACTGGGCTGCAAACCACAAGGTCGGCAGTTTGAAACCATCAGACGCTCTGTGGGAGAAAGATGAGGCTCTCGATTCCAGTGGAGATTTACAGTCTCAGAAACTCAAAGGGGGTGTTCTTTTTGTCTTTAAAAAAGTTATTATTAATTGGGATTTAATACATATATCATTCCACAGGTCAATCACGTCATAGATTTGTACAATTGCTACCACAATCAATTTCCAGACATTCTTTTTCTACATGGACTCCTTGACATCGCTTCCCTTTTACCCCACCCCTACCACCACTATACTCTCCTCCCCCTTGAGCCCCTTATTCTACTTGCTATCACTGTAGGTTCATCCATCCTGGGGTTCATACACAGAAAAACACAAAGGCATATGCGCAGCTTCAAGAGGGTGACCTCCATTGACATAACACCTCTGAGAGACACTCTACTATGAATGAACAAAGGCCAAATGAAACAATACAAACCAAAAATACAGAAAACTTTGGAAACCAGATCAGGTCCAGCCTGCATCACAGGGGGATCTACTGATAGACGGTCAACTGTTCAAGTCAGATTTACGCCTTTGGTCTTCTGTACTCCTCTTTCCCAAGCACGCTGTGCAGTGAACACTTTCCTCCCGTCCCTCAGTTTTAGACAGGGGGAGTTCTCCGGAGGCTTATTTCCCAGGTAGTTCCACAAATGGATCTTGGGCGCCCGTTGTCATCCATCGCCTTCTGCAACATTAGATTCTCACACTGGAGGTCCTGATACTCACCCTCCTTTGACTTCGGATTATATAGATTCCCGTCCTTCAATGACTGATGACAGTGTGCTTCCTCCACGTGGACTTAGTTGAACTCTCACTCAGATGGCTGCTTGTTTGGAGATAAGCCAAGGGGCTGTTCCACTCCATCTTATAGGGCCACTCTAAGTCAACATTGTCTCAATGGCAGTGAATTTGGTTTTTCAGTTCTCTCATGGAGAGAACCACCCTGTGGGTGGGTTCAAACCACCAACCTCTTGGTTGGTAGCTGAGCCCTTCCCCACAGTGCTACCAGGACTCCTTGAAGGGTTTATAAAGGGGTGGACTTCTTAGTGCCAACAGATATGTAGTAGCATGTCATCTGAGTTGATCATTCATTACGACCAACTATGAGCCAGTCGTCAGACTCTGAAGGTCCATCCCTGAAACAGGAGTACTGAAAAGAAATGGAAAGGACAGCATCCAGGAGATCCAGTAGATCCTGCTGTACCACAGGAGAACCCGGCTTCTGGGCTGGGGTCCCATCTGATGTCCATCTTTGCTTCCTGTATGATACTGCCAGGTAACAAAGCTGTCTGTCCTTTTAATCTTGTTAGAGACACCGGAGCAGTCTTTTAAATCTAGGTCATGAAGGTTGCGACGCTTCAAAAACTTGACTGTGAGAATATGAATACCCTTTGTAGGCGAAGGCGTGATGATGCAAGCCTGTCAAAGTTCCCCCCACAGCATCTCACGGATACATAGCAATGCTCTTCATTTGCTCCAGAAGAATGACGCTGCGGCTAGGGGCCTTGTGAGGACTGAGCATTGGCGTAAGCCAGGGTGACAAGTTACGGTTTTTGATGGGCGGTGCAGGGGGTGGGTGACACACTCTGTCCTTACTGAGTGTTTCTTGTTCTGGCAATTGAGCAAACTTGTCCTCTCCTGGAAAAATCCAGGCTTAGCTTGGGAAGTGATTCAGGCAACTAGAGATGCAACAAATGATTCCGGTGAAAAATGTTCTCAGGAAAAACAAACCAAAAAAAACCAACCAAAAAAACTGCTTTTGTTTTTAGACCAGAATTTTTCCAGGGCTTTGGCCTAAACTCCAGGCCGTGTCTTGCGACTGCAAGATCAGCAATTTGAAACTACCAGTAGCGCCGTGGGAGAAAGAGATGAGGCTTTCTACTCCCACAAAGACTTGCAGTCTCAGAAACCCACAGGGGCAGTTGTACCCTGTCCAATAGGGTTGCCATGAGTCAGAACAGACTCGATGGCAGGGTGTTTTTGAGGTTCCCTGTCATCCAGGGGTCACCATAAATTCAGTGAGTTTCAGAATCTCATCGGGAATACTCTGAAAGCCACAATTGTTTTGTTTCATGCTTGCGTGCATGTGTCTTTTTGTTTGTTTTTTAATGACTAGGCATCTCAATTTCACCTCTTCTTTTGCAAGGGAAGTAGAAGCAGCAGAATCCAAGACAAATCCCCCCAGGTCTCAAAATCCACGACCTCGATTTCCTAGCTCAATTTCAGACATGCTCGAGTTGGAATAAGAGTTGGGACTCCAGACTTGCTTCTGACCTTGAGCACTGTAGACAACACCCCTGGCCTTGGTCTCCCCCTGCATCAAATGGGAATGAACATCGACTCTCCCAGAGAATTGAGCAATAATGTCTCTGAAGTGCTTTTGCCTGTGCTTGGCAATAGTGATCAATAAGCAGTAGCCAGTTAATATTACTTTGTAACCTATACATAGAACTATCTTCTGTCCACCTGCATAGAGTCCTCCCGGATGACAAAGATGGCCTCCATCCCCATCGAGCTCACTGCCTTTGGCAGAGGTGCAGAGGTTTATTAAAAGGGCTTGCTGTATAGATGACTAAGAAAGAGCCCTGTGAATTCAGACCATAGACTTTTCCCTGCTATGGGCTCTGAGGCTGAGGAGCTAAAGGAACGAAGAACTTCTCATGAGTTCCGATAGGACTCTGAGAGGGGCACACAGTCCCTGCCTTACAAAGACCTCGTCAGCCGAATGGAGCAGGAAGGCTTGTTCTTGGGTACATCTAGTATGGACAGGCAAAGGAGACCTGGCCAGCTATCAACCCACCACTGCTTACTGCAGAGGCGAAGGCCTGCTTTTCAGAAAGGAAGAGGTCAAGTCCTGTTCCCTCTGTCAACAGGCCACAAATGGAATAGAGTGGAGGCGTTGGCGTCAGAAAGCTCTGGCTTCCAATTCTGCCACTGCAATTTTTCACTTGAGCACACTGTTGGCCAACTTCATCTCGTGAAGTCTCGGTCGTCTCATCCGTAACACTGGGATAATAGAAGTTCCTCCAGCCCAGGAGTAATTCTACTGTGCTCTACAGGGCAGCCATGAGTCAAAAGTGACTCGCTGGCAGTTGGACAGCCGAAAGGTGTGACTATTGAAAGCCACAGTGTACCACATACAAGGTCTAGGACAAAGGAAGCACAGATGATGTGGACTGTCATTCCTATGATCTTCCACTTACTGTCTACATTTCACTTTTACTTATTATCTTCAGATATTGGCTTAAATTTATATATATATATATATATATACACATACATATATATAAACATGGTAAGCCTGCTCTTGCTCCTTGGCTGTGCTTTTAACATCTAGGCTCCTTTTTGAAAGAAAGGGATCCCTCCAAAGCAATGCACCCCCACCCCAAAAAAAAAAAACCCAAGCCAAAAAATTCCTCCATCCCTATCTGTTTTGGGGAGGCCCCCTCCCCACCCATCGACCTGGCAGCTCCCAGAGGAGCACTGACCTTGCGAGTGAAGGCCGCGTTCCATGACCCCGTGCTTGACTTTCATGTGGCGAGTCAGGTTTCCCTTCAGGGTGAACTTGCTCGGGCAGTAGAGGCACTTGAAGGGCTTGCTGTCCGAGTGCAGGTGCATGTGGCCCATCAGGTTGTGCATCCGGTTGAATTCCTTCCCACACAGCTGACCGAGACAGTGAGGAGGAGGCTGGTTATTCATGTGTGCGGACCCTCCCAAGAGGAACCCATGCCCGGGGCCCCTGAGAGGATGGATGAGCCACTTTCTTGTGGCTCTCGGTGTTTGGTATATGATGGAATTGTGTCTCCCAAAAAGAGAGGTGGTAATTCTAATCTTTGGTAATCTGGGAATGAGACCCAGTTTGGAAACAGGACTGTTCCTTGACGATGTTAATAGATTAGATAACAAGGTCATGCCCATGTTTAGTATGCCCTAGCTCCTTCTGGGTGATGCCTTTTCAAAGAGGAGAACAGAAATGGAGATGGGGTCACACAGGGGAGGGAGACATGCCTTATAAAGATGCATCTAAAGGCCAAGCAATGCCGAAAACCACCCGGGGCTCCCACAAGACAGAAAAGACCAGGAAGGACCTTCCTCAAAACCAGTGGTTCTCAACCTTCCTAATGCCGGGACCCTTCATACAGTTCCTCATGTTGAGGTGACCCTCAACCAAAACATTATTTTTGTTGCTACTTCATCACTGTAATCTTGCTAATGTTATTAATCTGGTGACCCTGTGAAAGGGCTGTTAGATTCCCAAAGGGGTCGTGTCCCACAGGTTGAGAACCGCTGCTCTAGACTCTAGAGCATGGGACCCCCAATGTATTGGGCCTGTGGCCCCGTTTAAAAAAAAAAAGAAGGCTCAGCGTGCTGTTGGCGATGAAAAACATTTGCCCTGCAGCTCATAATGCAGGATAAAGTGCAGGTCTCTGTTTCTGCAGCCTCCCACCACTACTTTGGAAACACTGCCCTAGAGGAACAAGGAGAGAATGGCCCCGGGATGCCTTGACCCCCAGAATGGCACAAGACAATACACTTCTGCTGTTTAAGGCCAGTCACTTGGTGGTATTTTGCTCCAGCAATCTCTGACACTGGTCTAAACCGCTCCAAGGAAAGAGTCCCCATGGAAGTCAGACAGAAGCTGGATTCGGTGCAGGCTCACAGGTGGAGCCTGTGTGAGGAGGACTGAGTGAGTCATGCTCCTGAGAATGTTTTTTTTTGTTTGTTTGCTTTAGTTGAAGATAAAAATCTTAAAGCCTTCAAAGGGCCTGCTGAATGCTACTTTTGGAAGAGAAAAGAAAAAAAAATGCTGATCTGAAAAAGCAATTGCTCAAAGTGAGGTTCATTTAAATAAGGCTATGGCTATTTAATATTCACGGAGCATTTACAATATGGAAAACACCATACCAAACCTGTCTTGAAATGTCTCATGATTATAGGTTAGGCAGTTGAAACCACCAGCTGTTCCGTGGAAGAAAGATGAAGCTTTCTACGCCCATTTACAGTCCAGAAACCCACAGAGGCAGTTCGACCCTGTCCGACAGGGTTGCGATGAGTCAGCATTGACTGGTGGCAGTGAGTGTGGGCTCTGCTGGGATAGAGGTCTATACATTGGGCTGCTAACCGCAGGGCAGTCATTTGAAAACAGCCCCGTGGAAGAAAGAGGATACTTTCTATTCCCATAAAGATTTACAGTCTCAGAAACCCACAGGGGCAGTCCGGTTCTGTCCCAGGAGCCCTAGTGGTGTAGTGGGCTATGCTACAAACCACAATATCTGTGGTTCAATTCTACCAGCCGCTCCCTCAGGAGAAGATGAGGCTTTCTGCTCCCAGAAAGATTTAAAGTCTTGGAATCCCAAAGGGGCATCTCTACCCTCTCCTATAGGGTCATGATGAGTCCAAATCAACTCGCTGGCAGTGAGTTTTTGTCATCATTATGAGATGGATGCTATTAGCACTCCTATTTTACAGAAGGGCAAACAGGACTTGAGTCGCTAGCTGGGATGATAAACTCAGCCTATGGGCCATCAGAGGATATTGTGTGTATACATACCTTGTCCCTCTTCTGTGAGGCAATTTATGCAGATGTTGAACGTTTAAAACAGAAACAACTGCCCTGAAGATTTTTTTCATGTTTGTTGTCTCCAAGTGCACTGGTGATGCAGTGGTTATGCACTGGGATGCTAATTGCAAAGTCAGCCATGGGAACCACGAACTACCCCAAGGGAGAAAGACAGGGTGCTTCCTACTCTTGTAAAGAGATATAGGATCAGAAACTCAAAGGGGGCAGTTCTACCCTGTCCTGTAGCAACGCTCTGAGTCAGCACTGACTCAATGGCAGTGGGTTTTGTTTTTCGCTTTTGTCTCCAAGCCTCCAAGGACAGCAGGGTTTGGAAATTCTAGCCCCTCCTTGGTTGGCTGTGAGGAAGCTGAGGAAGGACTTGGATGTGTTCGGGACCTGAATGTTCAAGGGGCATGTACAGCCTCATCCTCTTCCCTCCCTTCCCTCAAAGGCTATTGCAGAGGAACAGCCCCATAGAGAAGCCAGGAAAGGAGAACTCAGGGTGTGCTGAACCCCGAGACTCTCACTGGTTTTCCTTTTCCACTGAGCTATACTTTTAAGGCCGATGATGGAGATTCTGGATTGAATTTTTATTAGTGAAAGCTGCATTTCCTTCAGGTGGCTGTGGAGATGAGATTTGAGCTGACCATCAAAGATGAGCAGATGTAACAAGTGGAAACCTTAGCTGTGAACTTCAAAGAATCCCGGGTGTTAACAGGATGCCAGTCTGGCAATACAAATTGTCACAGATAATCCACGTATATTTAATGAATAGTTAGTTCTGTATTTTTTTGATGATTCATGTTTGGAAATTTTAAGAACTTCTTGCTTCCTTACTAGCAAGAATCACTTTTGAATACAGAAACAGGGTTCTATAGTTCCAAGCTTGCTATTCAGACTATGTGAAGTGGTTTCATTCATTTGAAAATGATGATCCAAGAACAAGAAATGGTGACAGAGTCGGTCTGCTAGCCACAGGCTCAGGAGAAGTCCTATACAAGGATAGTTTCTCTCTTTTATTCTCAATAGAGATGGTTATTAAGGTACATCTGCCTGTGTTCAGTCTTGCATATGTGTGAATGATCTAGCAGAGGTATATTTATTAGCAAGTTTTTATCCAGTTCTTCATAAGAGCTAAGGCAAAAAGCTGGGAACTTAGGGATTCTACACGAGCATTTCCAGTGATAGATTATTCTAGAAAACCAACAGCCTCTACCTTTGTTGATGATTTGGAGTTATCTTGCTGTCCGAATGTCTGAGTCTGACCTGCATTCAGCACTTGTCTTAGTCATGCGCACTCAATGGAATGTAACAACAAGGAAGGCTGTGCCTGCCTTTTCAAATGTTTATTATGGTGAGATATATGTGACAAAACAGTCACCATTCGTCCCAGTACCATTCAGTAAGATTAATAACAGGCACCATGCTGTGACCCATCACCACGATCCTTTTCCAATGTTTCCATCACTCTGGACAGAAATGCGACATCCTACAAGCAATGCCCACATCGTGCCCATTCCGCTTGTCCCTGGAAACTACTAATGAACAGTGATCTCTAGGCCTGTGTTGCATCGAGCTAGCTCATATAAATGGCAGCATATACTATTTGCCCTTCCGGCTCTGACTCATTTCACGCCACTTAATGTCTCCAAAGGAACCCTGGTGGGGTGCTGGGTCACTCATTGTGCTGCTCACCAAAAGGTCGGCAGTTTGAAACTAACAGCCACTCTTTGGGCGAAAGATGAGTCCTTCTACTTCCGTGAAGCGTTAAACTCTTGGAAACCTGCAGGGTAATTCGACTCTGTCCTACAGGGGTGCCACAAGTCAGAATTGATTGGAAGGTGGTGAGTGTTTTGTTTTGCTTTTAAGTTTTCAAGACTCAGCCATGTCATAGCATGTACTGCCACTTCACTTCTCTTTATTTTGCTGGTCTTTGATTGTCTCCTCTGCCCAGCTGCACGAGAAAACAAAACAAAACAATCCAAACTCACTCCCGTGGAGATGACTCGACTCACAGTGACCCTACAGGGCAGAGTCGAACTGCCTCTGTAAGGTTCTAAGACCTGACAATTTTCAGGGGCAGAAAGCCTCATCTTTCCGCTGCTCAATAGCTGTGTGACCCAGAGAAAAAGGGTGGGACACATTCCAGCAGAAGGCCTGACAAGCTTAAGCCACAGATGATTACGCCCAATGCATGAAGGGGGAGAGGAGCTAGACACAGAGGGTCAACCACGCTATTACCCTAGTCCAGGCATGGCCGCGGCTCAGAGTCCTGTGGACCACAGAGCGAATTGAAAAGAGGGATAGGTGTCCTCTGTACTAGGCTCCCATGAGTGGAATGGGAATCGCTCATGGGGCTATGGGTTAAGTGAACTGAAAGGTTCATGGTTCGAACCCTTCGAGTGAAACATGAAGCTGTGTACTTCCGCAAATACTTACAGCCTCCAAAACCCCATGGAGCAGATGTTCTTTGTCCCGTAGAGTTACTTACGACGAGTCAGACTAGACCCAGCAGTGGGTTTGGCCCATGAATGGGGAGGCTCTTCTTTTGGTTATTATCTGTGGCTACAGGCACTAGACCTTTCCTCATGCTGCGACCCTTTAATGCAGTTCCTCATGTTTTGGTGACACCCCCCCCCGCAACCATAAAATGATTTTCTTTGCTACTTCATCACTGTCCTTTTGCTACTGTCATGAATCGTCATGTAAATATCTGATATGCAGGAGATATTTTCATGGTTACAAATTGAACATAATTAAAGCATAGTGATTAATCACAAAACAATATGTAATGATATACTGTGAAATGCTTTGTGTTTTCCGATGGTCTTAGGCAACCCCTGTGAAAGAGTCGTTCAACCTCCAAAGGGGTCAAGACCCACAGGTTGAGAACCGCTGCTCTAGAAGCTGGACTGATTCAGAGGGATGCAAAATTGAATTCCTTCACTTTATTCTGGGTTGTAGGCTATGGTTCCATATTTTTAATTGCTGGAGGGCACTGAGTAGTCTTTAAAATAAGGGAGGAGGGAGAGTGCAGGTAAATACTTTAGTCCTGAGGACTCTGATTTCAGCTCCGCCCCCTCGCTTGAGCCCTCAGCTGTTC